TTGGAAGTGCCTTTAAAAATTATCTCTTCTAGAATCTGATTATTTGAAAGCCATTTTATTGCCTAAAAACTTATGTTTAAGAAGAATGTACTTTCAGACGGAGTAGTCTCCCCTATGGAGTGGTTTGCCTACAGTTCTAAAGGAAGTTTTGTGCATTTGTGAATACACTAGGTCTTTCTTAGGCTCAATTTAAAAACTCATGTCACAAATCTTCTACCTATCAAGGTTAAGTGTTTTAACATGTGACAAATACTATATCATCACTGCTGTACTGAAAGACAAGCTTTGGCTTTGGCAAACATCTATAGCAGCTACATCTTTCTAATAGGAAGGCCATGCCATGCCTAGTATTTGATAAACAGCTAAGACAAGGTTTGAAGTTACTTCTCAGTTTTCAGCTACTCATTCGGGTCGCATTCCTGTTACTTTCTGTTCCTGTGGAAATTGATGAATGATTCTATGTAAAGGAAGCCTTTCTGAGGAGTCCTGGAGATTTTCAAGCCTTTCTGTTCTCCCTCTTCATTACAACGCTTTCCCCAGAAAGCTAATGAAGCCTTAATAAAAAAGATTGAATTCCTTAAGTTAAAAGCTTACATTTGTTGACCCAGAATATAATGCTTGAAAACATTACTGATAAAGAAACTGGGTTTTACTTTGGATTACAAAAAGACTTCCTGCTAAACAAAATAGTAACAATGAATGGAAAGAGCTGATGGAATAAAAATTCAAGTCTCACCCCCACTTTCTTTTAGAGGTATGAAGGGGAAAGGGAAAATAATGAAGACAGGAGGTTTAAGTGAGAAGAAGGGTTGGGTCAAGAAGAAGAGGAAGTGGGAAGAAGACTACAACTAAGGCTATTGGAACCCTAATATTTTATATACTCAGATAAAAATGTTTAATTGAAGTTACCAAACATAGGATAATACTGTTGCCAGAAGCTAACAAAAACAAAACAAAGAAGTAAGAAAAAGAAAACAACCAACAGCAACAACAAAAAAACAGCCTAGTGTCAGGTGGAAGATACTTTCTCTTGAATTGTTAGCCAGGAGTATCCCCAAACAGTATAGGGTATTTTGTTGGAGATTGCCTCCCAGTACTTGATCGTAAGACCCTATTGCTGAAGAAGAATTGGTCATGGCACATGGAGAAATAAAGTTGGATCTGGCTAGCTTTTATGAGTGGAAGATTATATGAAGGCTGTTGGAGAAGAAAAAAAATCATCAACAGTCTCATCCATCTGCGAACCTTTTGAGTTACAACGATGATGATCACATGGTAAAATATGTCCATTGCAGCACCAGTGTATGAGTGTCATGGAGGTAACTAACTGCTTTCCGCCCTAAGACCCATTCCACTGGAGAAAGCTCATCACTGGTACTGTGAATCTGATTAAGAACCCATGACTTGTGAACGTATAAGCCCCAGGGGGTAAATTTACCACCATTTTGCTAAATACACATATTGTAAGAACACTCTTTCAATTCATATTTCTATATCAATAGACGAATGTAATTCTCAGACCTTATTGGGAAGTTTCTTTGTGCATTAGATAGTAGTTAATCTGGAAGCTCACAACTGCCCAAATCGAGAAAACAAATTTTTGTGGAGTATTCATGACCATAAATGTTACACCTCCTTTTCCTAAGGCTTGAGACCATTGAGGAGGAGACAACAGAAAGATTGTAAGAGTACTCACTCATATATGGATTTTAGACATGGAGCAGGGCATTGCCAGCCTACATTCCCGCCACCAGAGAGTCTGGGAAGCAGGGAGGACCCTAAGAGAGATATGCATGATAACCCAGAGATGGGATATGGGACAATATCTCCTAATTGGATTGGGAGTGGGAGGGTGGAAGAGAGGACAGAAGGAGATGGGAGAAAGAGAGGGGGAAAAGAGGAGGGGAAGGGAGGGCATGGGGGTGCAGGAAGGTTGAGCCAGGGTAAGAATAGAGGAGAGAAGGATGAGAGATAACCATAATAGAGGGAGCCACTTTAAGTTGGAGGAGAGCACTAGTGAGATCTTCACAGATCTACAAGAATGACACTAACTTGCATTAAGGCTACCTTAAATGTCCTCCCATGATAATGAGATTGATGACTACCTTATATGCCTTCATAGAACCCTCATCCAGTGTGTGACAGAAGCAGAGGCAGACACCCACAGCTAAAAACTGAATTAAACCCCTGGAGCCCAGTTGCAAAGATGAGTGATGAGCAAAGGTATCGAGATCAGGCTGGCGAAACCCACAGAGGCAACTGACCTAAACAAGGGGAACCCATGGACCCCAGACTGATGCCTGAGAGGCCAGCATGGGACTGATCCAGATACACCCCCACCCCGCACCCCACCCCCACGATTCTGGGTGTCAAAGAAGAGACCTCGGCAATCTATGGGACCTTGGAGAGTAGAGCAGTATTTATTCTTGGCACACAAATAGACTCTGGGAGACCATTCCACTTGTAGAGATGCTCTCTCAGCCTGGACACATAGGGGAGGACCTAGGCCCTGCCCAGGAAGATATAATGGACTCTGAAAATCCCTTATGGAAGCCCTTACCCTCCCTGGGGAGCAGAGGGGGGATAGAATGGGGTGGGGGCTGGGAGGATTGGGGGCCGGGGGAGTAGGGAAGGGAGAGGGAACTGAGAGTAACATGTGTAAAAAGATAAATAAAGGGGAAAAAAGAAAAATAAATGGAAAAAAAGAGGCAGCAATGGGAGAAAACCTGACGAATCAGTCAGTGTCTTCTAGACGTGATAAGCAGTACTACATTCATGAACTCACAAAAGCTGTTGTTGTCTATAGAAAATCTGCACCACATCAAGCCAGTACACATTCTAGCATGGAGAAATTAATTTCTCAATAGAGCCAACACCCAGCCAAGGAACTATTGGTAAGTGACAGCTTCTCAGGGAAGGAGAGTCAATTTTCTTTAAGGGGTAGCCACTGGTAAGATGTCCATGCTCCACTTGATGGTCCCAACCCCATAAATATACAAATAGCATAAATTGGCCTCATTCGATTATTTAAAAATGATGACAAAAAGAAGACATGAAGTATGGAGAGGCTGGGAGGATATGGAAGGAATTAGGGGGAGCAGTGTGGGTAAATATGATCAGAATACAATATGTGCATCCATGGGATTCTCAAATAATTAAAAGAATGAAATTCTAATGCCAAAACCAAATTTCCATGGCACAGAATTTGAGACTCCTTATTCTAGAGTCAGCGAGAGTTAGAAGAGTTTTATTAATTTTTGATGGCTCACCTTGATGTTTTCTTCCATTTGGACAAATTGTGCAATGAAATAATTTGCATGTGTGTGAAAATACCTATGTGTGACAAAGCTACTTGGTCATAATTGGAGTATTCCTTCCTAGATAGGGCTAAAGGAGGCTAATAAGCCCTCAGAAGTTTTCAAAATTTCCAAAGTACAAGATACTCCTGAAACCTGAAAGACTCACAAGGCCTTGGTCATGAAAACAATAAATATTTGCTAGCCGGAGGAGACTTCGTGATGGTTGAGTTGCCTTCAAGTTGTATATAGCACTCCAGAAATGCTGCTTTCATGAGTTCACACTCAGGATTGGGCAAGCCTTTTGATGATGCAGGTGTCTTTGAGTTGGTCGTGTTCCTATAAATAGTCCATCACCCGTACTTCTTTAGTTCACTGAACCACTATGATAGACTTGAATGGACTCATGTGTTGAATTTGTTGTTAGTATATAGCCTGAATAGAAATTTATCCATACATTCCTAGGCTAAATATCACAAAACACATATTAAGAAACTTACATGAGACAGTATATCTGATATGTAGAAAAAGGTTTTATAATACATATCAAAATTAAAAGTAAAATAAGGTAGTTTATTAAATACTTCATTTGAGACAGTGTTATGGCTTGAATGTGAAGTTATTAAAACACAGCAATGAACTGGAACTTTGTATTGGAAGGGAGATGGCAGGAGCCCTGGGGCTCATGTCCTTGCTGCAGGAGAGGGCAGCTCACTGGGGAGGGGATTAAAAGGTCACCTCTCCAGCCTATCCTGAACTACTGGATCCAGATGTTAAACTTAACAAGGTCCGTAAGGATTTCATCAGGATGTTAAATTTGGGACTCATTGGTTCAAGATCTGGAAGAAGAAGGAGGAGGAGGAGGAAGAGATATTGTTAATTGCAGACTTCAAAGGAAACCATGCTTGTAGAAATTACTAATGAAACAGTTAAAATAATTAATAAGGGTCTATTTAGTTATTTCACAAAGAGAAGAGGGAGGAGTGAAAAGAGAATAATTGAAAGGGCAAAAATATGGATTGAAGCAAATAGAAAACTTACAACACAGCCAATACACAATCAAATACAGATATGAACTATGTGTCTTAAGCAAAGTACGCCAATGCTCATACTCTAGTATAGGGTGGTGTTTGTGATATAATTCTCTGTGTTATTTTATTCCTTATTATTTTGAGATTAAAATTACATTTCTCCCCTTCCCTCCCTCTCCTATATACTTTTCCTTGATCTCTTTCAAATTCGTGTCTTTTTTTTATTAACTGTGCACATATATGTATATGCCTTATCTGTCCTTTCCAGAGTCAGAGGATAGAAAACCAACAGTACTTTAAGGTTTACTTCTGAACTCTATCATATTTCACTCAAATACTCAGGGTTCACACCGACTACCGATTCTCTTCCTGTGTTTTATTCCTGGTGTTTAAGCGTTGGTTTTCTGGTATGTTTGAGCCTTTTGTGGTGGAGGTGAAGGAGGTAAAGACTAAAAAAACTTAAGACTTATTTCTTTTTTTTTAGTTTTTACTTTGGTTTTATTCATAATCATAAACTTAACTCTGCAATCCAGCTAGACTTGAGGGGAAATATGGAACCCAAAGAATTTCAGTGAGAGCAGAGATTACGGGGCATTACGAGCAGATGGGGTGGAGGCGGGATGCTCTCCTGAGCTACAGAGGGAATGGTCTGGTGGGTAAGTAATAGGCCCGCCAGTCAGAAGAATTAGAGTTGCCCACAGTCGGAAATAGTGATCTTCTTGCTGGTCTTGCCGTTCCTGGACCCGAAACGCTCCATGGCCTCCACAATGTTCATGCCTTCCTTCACCTTCCCAAAGACCACATGCTTGCCATCCAGCCACTCGGTCTTGGCGGTGTAGATAAAAAACTGGGAACCATTTGTGTTTGGTCCAGCATTTGCCATGGACAAGATGCCGGGACCCGTGTGCTTCAGGATGAAGTTCTCATCCTCAAACTTCTCTCCGTAGATGGACCTGCCACCAGTGCCATTATGGCGTGTGAAGTCACCACCCTGACACATGAATCCTGGGATAATTCTGTGAAAGGAGGAACCCTTATATCCAAATCCTTTCTCTCCAGTGCTCAGAGCGAAGACTTATTTCTTATCACCACAGGATGTAAAGCTGCTTCCAGCCAATAACCACACATGTGTGTTCTTCTGATCTACTATACCATGACAAAACAACCCCAGGTTTAGAGGCTGGGACAGCACATACCTACTATAGTTTCTGAGAAGCCAGGCTTGGCCAGTTGGTTCTTGGTCAGGGTCTTTATCTGGCTACTGTCAAGGTTGTAACCATCAGACGAGTTGCCTGTGGCCAAGAATTTCATGTCTGAACTCAGTGACCTGGCTAGGCCTCTCAGTTCCCACATTTGGTTGGACTGAAGCTTTAGTTCCTTGCCAGGTGTGTCTCCTCATAGGGTAGTTCAGGTCCTCCCATAGTGAAAGAGGAAGAAGAGGGGACAGTGAAAAATGTTCTCTTCTTTTAACCAAATTATTCCTATTTCTATTTGTTCCAGCCCATGCTGAAGTGCAAATAATTATGTAGCATCATTTGAAAGGAATGTGGAATAGTTTGTGGATATAGTTTTAAATGGCCCCTAGTGCATACGAAGCACTGAATTATATAATAATTGTTTTTCTGCTGAGGATAAAAATAACAGGATGTAGTTATTATAATCAGAATTGTAAACCCCAAAGCACCAAGCATACCATTTTTAATCAACACATTTTCTTCAATAATTTGATTTTCTCATTTTAAAAGATACACATGTTCATTATACTGTGAACTATAAATGCATGCATGCATGAGCCACATATAACATATTGGCGAACGTCAAAGGATACTTGTAGGAAGCAGTTCTCCCCTACTAAGAAGGTTCCTGTGGTTGAACTCTGGTCTTTAGGCTTGGCAGCAAGACTAACTACTGGGCCATTCAGGCTGTTCCTTCTTGTGAGTCCAGTAAACATTTGTAGAGGTAAAAGGATGGTAAAGCAAAATGATACAGGACCCTGAGTTGGATGACTTTTAGGTAGTATGAAGAAAATAAGATAAACATTTGAAATTAAACTAAGGTAAAATACTGTGGCAGCATCTCAAGTGCATAGGTAGTTCAGTACCAGTCCTGGGACTCATCTAGGCCCCTTTCTCTCCCTTTTTTTGATAGTTTTTTTTTTGGTGTATTAAATAAATCTAATGCTTTGTAAGGATCATAAATATAAAACAGTATAGAGTGAAATAATCAGGCTTCCTCTGTACTGATTCCTTGACATTCTTTCCATAGGAATTCCTAGTTTATAATTACCTTTTATTGTATTTTGAATTTTTTATTACTTTAATTTTTAAATACCTTGCTTCACATGTCAGTCCCTGTTCCCTCTCCCTCTTCTCCTCCCGCACTCCCCCCCCCTCCATCCCCCCAGCCTCCTACCCTATTGCCACTTCCTTCCACATAGGGGATATCCAGAGTCTGTCAGTTGGCTCAGGGAAGGGTCCAGGCACTCCCCTAAGAGTCCAGGCTAAGAGAGCATCCCTCTGTGTTATGGACACACAAAGTCCATTTGTATGCCAGGGATAAACACTGATCCACTGCTCAGGGCCCCATACGTTGCCCAGGCCTCCTCCCTGACTCTCACATTCAGAGGGTCTGGATCAGTCCCATGCTGGCCTCCCAGCTGTCGGTCTGGGGTCCAGGAGACCCCTTGTTCAGATCAGCTGCCTCTGCTGGTTTCGCCTGCCCATTCTTTGCCAATTTGCTCATCGCTTCTCTCTCTCTGTCACTTGGTTCTGTGGGTTCAATTCAATGTTTAATTGTGAGTGTTTGCCTCTGCTTCCATCAAGTCACTGGATGAAGGTCCTAGGATGGCATATAAGGTAGACGTCAAGTTCATTATCAGGAATGGGCATTTAAGGTAGTCTCTCCGCTATTGTTTAGCTTGCCAGTTGGTGTCATCCCTTTAGGTCACTAGAGGTCTCACTGGTGCCAGATCTCTCTTCAAACCTATGACTCCCTCTATTATGGTATTTCTCATCCTGTTCTCCCCCTATTCTACCCCCATTCAACCTTCCTGTTCCCCCATGACCTACTCTCTCTTCCTCTTCTACCCCTCTCTTCTTCCCAGCTCCCACTTCCCCCCACCCCTCGCCGTGTTCCCAATCTGTTCAGAAGATCTTGCCTCATTCCTCTTCTCTGGGGTAACATGCATATCTCTCTTAGGTTCTTTCCTGTTTCCCAGACTCTCTGTCAGTGGAAGTGCAGACTGGCACTATCCTGATCCATGTCTAAAATCCATATGCAAGTGAGTACATAACATGTTTGTCTTTTTGTGACTGTGTTACCTCACTCAGGATGGTTTCCTCTAGTGCCATCCATTTGCCTGCGAATTTCAAGATTTCATTATTTTTTCCGTTGAGTAGTACTCCATTGTGTAAATGTACCATATTTTCTCTATCCACTCTTCAGTTGAGGGGAATTTAGGTTGCTTCCAGGTTCTGGCTATTACAAACAATGGTGCTATGAACATAGTGGACCATCTAGGCCCCTTTCTCTTACCATGAGTCAGAATACAAAAAGGCAACAAATCCAATACCAAATGGCCAGCCTTAAACACACACACACACACACACACACACACACACACACACACACACACGTGACATCATACAGACTGAGCGGGTTATGTTTAGAAATATATGTATATACACATAAGCACATATGCATACAGTAAAAATTAACAAGTAAAAGAGGGCATGAATATGAAAGAGATCGGGGAGGAGTATATGAGAGGGTTTGGAAGGAGGAGGGGGAGATTATAATTGAAATTATATTCTCAAAATAAAGCACAGCATTATATGTATATAACTACTGATATCCATGGGTCTATCTCTTCCATTTGAAAGCATTATGGAGATAGTCACGGGTGTTGATTACAATTCTTGTTATAAAGTAGTTTTCTTTCAAAGTTTTAAATGAGTTCACCTTAAATGCAAAGCAAGCCCTTTTCTGAAGACCGATGCTGGGATGTGTCAAAACAATGAGTGAGAAACAACTGAGGAACGCCTGGTTGCTGCTGGTCCCGATGTTCCAGAACATTAACCCTGTCAGGAGCTTGGTCATGATAGATGCTGATGGGCCTTGTCTTTGGCTATTTCCTCTGGCTTTCTTTTTATGACAGATCTGTCATCATTAAAGCCAAATCAGAAAGAAAATCTGCCACTTTAACTCTGTTTTTAAAAAGCGAATTCTGCAAAATCATTCTTCAGCTCATAGGCATTCAACTTTAAAAATACAAACTATAAGTCTGGGCAGCAATGGTATGACTTAAAAAGACTCTGGGGCCTTCAGGTGGTGTGAAGCAGAATCTGCCATTCTCCTCCAAGGACTCAGAATTTTTCCACGTGAACTATTAAAAATTTTAAACTTTAGGGAAGTGGATTGAGAATAGAGACAGAGTGTCAAGGGAGGCTGACCAGCACATGTTTGCAGAAAAAGATACCCAAATCATCCAAATGAAGTCATGTCTTCTTATCAGAGCAGGTGCAGATACCATTTTCATATGTATGTGAATGAATGGAAAAACAAACTAACAGAAAGCAAAAACAAAGCAGAGGGCTAAAATGCTGCTCAGAGTACAGAGGAAATGCTTAGCATATGTCAGTCTCTGGTTTGATTCCCAGCAACCGCCTCTAAAACCATCCCACGCCAGATCTAAGAGCTTTTAAAGGAATATCATTACTCCCTTCTGAAGCAAGGCAGCCAGAAAAATGTAATAATGGAGGACAGGCAAATCTGTTGCATGGGAATCAAGATTCACTAGACTCAGTACAGGTTAAGTGAAGTTTATTCGGGGAAAATGCACTTACACAAGAATTGGGTGACCTCTGCAAGTTCCAGGTCCAAGGATTCACTCAGTCTCCCTCCGTGATGCAACCCAACTGGAAACAAGAGAACCCCAGCCACCTGTCCCTACCCCAGACCTAAACCCAACCTTGTTTCAGCTGCACCTATGGCCACGCCCAAATGGGTGTGGTCAGTACTACAGGTGCGGAGGAGGTGGATAGCTCACTACATATATTTTCACTTTTTTCAGTTCTTGCTTTTGTTGTTGATGATGTTTGAATTCACTATTTAGATCAAGATGACCTCAGATTCATGGGAGTCTTCCTGCCTCAGTGTTATAATGACAGACTCTTGTAATCATGCTGTCATGTCTAGCTTCATTCTTCGTTATGGCTGAACAATGAGATGGGATGTGACAGGATTTGGTGTGCATGTGTGTGTATGCTGTGTGCATGTATGAACATAATTTGTTCATATATTCAAGTTCCTTTACCAATATGTTGATAGTCGTCTTGCCAGAGTGTATGCCTTAGTTGTTGTAAATGGAGCGTCAATACACGTGGGCATGCAGGATCCCTCAGATGTAGTTGGTTGTTTTTTTATTCTTTTGGCCCTTTTGCTTCTTGGGGATCTGCCACCCAGCTCCAAAATAAATCACACACAGAAGCTTTTTCTTTATTATTAATACCTGGCCTTAGCTTGTCTTATTTATTGCTAGCTTTTCTTAAATTATCTTGTCTATTTTTGCCTCTGGGCTTTTATCTTTCTCTATTTTCGTATACCTTTCTTTTCTTCTTTATCCATGGCTTGCTGTGTAGCTGGGTGGCTGGCCCTGGAGTCTTCCTCTCCTCTTCTTTCTCATTCCTCAATCTAGTCTTCTTTTGCTTCCAGATCCCTCTTTTTCTTCTATTTATTCTCTCTGCCTGCCAGTCATGCCTATCCTTCCCCTTGCTATTGACCATTCAGCTCTTTATTAGACCAGTTAGGTGTTTTAGACAGGCAAAGTAACACAGCTTCACAGAGTTAAACAAATGCAACATAAAAACAATTTATTAATTGTCATTAAAACTTGATGTGCATCATTAAACAAATGTTCCATAGCAAAAATAAATGTAAAACATTTTAAAAAATAATATTCTACAAACTTGGGTTACTGATTTCATTTCTGTTGGTTACATATCAAGAATTGGGGTCACTGAATGCTATGGTAGATGCAATTTTAGCTTTCAAAGAACCTTCATACTTTT